GGCTTTGCTTGGGCCGTGGGAGCTGAGGTGTGATGGCTGCTAACCTGACAGGTTTGTCTTCTCCCCCTTGCAGGTGACACGATGGCTCCCCGACCACCTGGCCGCTCACTGCTATGGCTGCGACAGCACCTTCTGGCTCGCCAGCAGGAAGCACCACTGCAGGTATCTGAGCAGCAGGGAGGGATGGGGGCCAGGCCAGCACCCGGATCTTCCCTCTGCTCTTAGGCCGGGAAGGGCTCCGTTTTGCCTCGAAGTTCCTTAGTGAAGGATGGGTGTCGGGGTAGGAGTGGGAGCTCCTGCAGGAGCCAAGGGCTCTGAGGCAACAGAGCAGCTCCTGTTGGGCTCCAGCTCGCTGCATCTGTGCATGAGGAGCCACGCTGGGTATCTGTTAGCCCTGGCCCAGGTGGATCCCAGCGTTTTCTCTCGAGCTGGATTTGGAGACAGCTGGCTCTTTAGCTTAAGGTGATGAAAATAACTTAAAAAATAGTCGTGTGTCTCCTTTGCACTCAGTAGGGGCCTTTGGATTGGATGGTTTGGAAATCTGAAATTCTGTCTTAGTTTCATTTCTGTTAAATCCCTATTCCTGATTTCTGGCTATGAGAAAATGATCACGAAAACTGTCATTGAAATAAATGGCAGCTACCACGTTTTGATGCTTTGGTGCTTTTTGAAGTAGTGAAGAATTGAAAGCATCCTGAGCCCCCTCTGAACTTTGCTTCACTTAAAATTCTTGTGAAGATAAACAAACCAGGGAAGAATGAATGAGGAATTGAACGAGATGGATTTTTTTTCAAGTTTCATGTCCACTGTGTGTGCAGATGTAATTGCTAAGCGTCCTTACACACATCTGAGGGGTTCTATAGGAGTTCAGAGAACACTTCTGTGTGTCTCTTGTGGTACCTGTGGTGAAGTGCCCCCATCCATCACCGTCTCCCTGCCCGTGGCTCCCCTAGGGCTGCTCCCACTTTGCTCCCACATCGCAGTTTTGCAGGCCTGGACTCTGGGGAGCTGAACACCTCCAGCACCACGAGGAGCTGAGATGGATGCAGGGTCTGGAGTCCTGTTACAGGATTCCTTTGGTGTCTTTGTTCTGTGCTTTCCAATGCCTGATGTGGGTTGGCCAGGCCGTCCATGTGAGCTCTCGTTGGTAGAGAGCAGGAAGGGCTGCCATCCCAGCTGACAGGAAAACCAAGCATTTGCCTTGCGTGCATTGTTACAAAGCACTGGTGAGTCTGCTCACCTGCCCGTCTGAGGGTGAGAGTGGCTTAGAAGCACATTTCCAACGTGAGCAGGATAAAAGTACCCAGCTTCCTTCATTGCCAGTTTGCTTCTGTTGCTGTTCCCTCTGAGCTCTTCCTTCCCTCCTTGCAGGGACACTGAACGTGTTGATCAGATCTGGTGAGCATTTACAGCAGCCTCTGCCTGTTGTCTGTCTGCATTTTCTCAGTAACTTCTCCAAACTAACTCAGGCTCTTCCCCCTGTTTTTCACCTGGCTGGAAAGCTCCAGAAATAAGCTGTGGGTGGCTGCTGGATGCTGAGATTGATAAAACAGGCTTCTCTTTCCACAGGAAGGCACTGAGGCTTGGCTTCTGGTAGCTGAAACTGTGGTGTGGATGACACTAACTGTCACCATCAGCAATGGTGTGTTTGAGTAACAGAATGCTGCAGTGCTAACTGGGAAGAGTTTAACCTTCAAGTTCAGCCATTTATCTTAGCTTCCATTCTTTCCCTTTTTGCATTAATCCTGGGAGGTGTCAGTGTGTTAGCAAGCCATGCAAGCGTGTGCATGTCGATGGAAAAGGATTGATGCTGATTTTGGAAGGACTGTGGCAATAAGAGGTAATGCAGGGCTGGGAGAGAGGTGGTGTCTCACAAAATGGGTGAACGTGGATAATTTAGTGCAAGGAGCTCTTGGTGGTGTGGCTTTAAGTCGCCTGCCCTCCAAGGGGAGAGATGTCTTAACAGCTCCAGATCCCTCGTGCACAGCAGTGGGGTGCACAGAAAGCTGCTCAGGGCAGAGCAGTTCCAGAGTGCTGTCACAGAAAGACAAAAGGACAACAAACAAGTGTTGTGTTAGGAAGCTGGTGAGCTGCAACAGACAGACCATGGTTTTCCAGTCCCTCTGGTTGTTTCTGACCCGATCCATCTGCAGTAAGTTTCTGTGGGTAACTGCTCTTTGAACAGCAGCAATGGGAGCTGACAGCACAGATCACACCTCAGCAATTGGTTTCACTGCTGCTGGCTTTTCTAGCAGTAATTTCTGACAGATTCCTGAAGGCTTCCAGCCCGCAGCCCCAAGCTGGCCATCGTGACATTCTGCTGCTCGGGTTGTGGCACTGAGATCCGCAGCTGCTGTGCAGAGCTGCAGAAGTCAGCCCTGTGAATGGGAAATGGCATTTCTCTGCTGGCTGTTCCCCATCAGTGCCCGGCATCTGGGAGCCCCATCTCTTGGCAGCGAAGCATTAATGGAAGCTGCTGGGTGTAAGCAGAGCTTCCTGTCGCTCTCGGCAGCAGCAAATCTTTTCCTGCACAAATCGGTGGTGGCATAAAGTCCCGATGCCAAAGAGTCCATGAGAAGGGAGCGGGGCCTGGAGGCGAACGGCAGACTGCAGGGCTGCGCTGGGAGCCCTGAGCGGCCTGCCGAGGTGTGCAGCGTGCAGGGAGGGCTGCAGGAGCAGCAGGGGACGCTTCCCACACTTCACCTAACCCTGTGAGAGCATGCAGTGGGCGCCTGGCAGCAGTGCATCCTGCGGCACAGCCTGAGCATGGCGCCGCGCACCGCGTGCTCCTTGCCGGCAGCATTGCTGTGAGCGACGTGTGGGGCTGGGAGCGGGGCAGGGCAGCACGGCTGGGAGGATGGCATCACCTGTGCTGGGTTCTGTGCTGAACCCTTCCGGCAGCGCACTTGAAAGAGGAGCAGCCGCTGTGTGCCGTGGTTTCCCTCACCTCCTCTCTGGTGTGGAGCTCTGCAGGGCGGGCTGTCTGTGTGTCCTGGGGCTTAGGGACAGACAGCACCGCAGCACCGCAAGTAGCACAACTCTACAACCCTTAACCCCATCCAACTGCTGCTAATGTTGTCTTTTCCATTTCTCCTCTGTTCCTGACGCAAGGAATTGCGGAAACGTGTTCTGCTCCAGCTGCTGTAACCAGAAGGTGCCGGTTCCCAGCCAGCAGCTCTTTGAGCCCAGCAGAGTCTGCAAATCGTGCTACAGCAGCTTGCACCCGAGCAGCGCCAGCCTGGATCTTGAACTGGACAAACCCATCACTGCCACGTCAAACTAAAGGCCCGGCCGGGAGGCGGCGCCCCTCCGTGGCAGAGGTGTGTGATGCTGTGACCCCAGTGGGCCGAGACCGGAAGGACGAGGGGCGAGGAGCTGCTCAGCGGGACGGAGCTCACCGTGCTGCTGCAGTGCGGGCATCTCCTCTTCCAGCCGTTCCCTTTCCTTTCTGTCCTCTCCTTGTGTGTGCGTGTACGCGCCTGTGTGTGTGTGTATATAATAATATATATGTTTGCTTGTTTGCTGGAAGGTCGTACAGGCGGGAAGGGAGCTGGCACCAGAACCAGGTCTCCCTTTTGTATTTCACTGTCCCACTGCTGAACTGCGTTGCAGACAATTTGGTGGAGGAAAGGAGACGAGGGGAATCGGCGCAGGCGGTGCGCGAGGTGAATCGCTGCAGCCCCAGCGCCGGTGCTTTCAATCACTCCTGTTACTTCCAAACAAGAAACTGCTGTTTGGGAACTTGTTGCTGCTAGAAGAAGTGGGAATCTCTTTCCCAAGAGAGCACTCTGCCTCTCTGTTCTTAGAGTGCGTGAAGGGGATCGCGGGTTGTGCTGCCGCAGCCCCGTGCTGCTGGCTGGGCGCAGCTGGGCAGTGCTGGCTGCAGGAGCTGCGGGTGCTGGTGAGAGGTGAGGAGGGGCTGAGCGTGGTGTCACACCGACGCCTCTATCTGAAGGAGTGTAATTGCAATTCCTTATTTAAAACCGAGTGGGGAAAGAGCAGCCCTCTGATTTGTGTCCCTGTCCCACCGTAGGCCGGTTTGCTCGGCGCAGAGCTCCTTATCTGCACTTTGGGGAGGGCGCTCAGAGCAGCAGCACTTCCAGCTGTGCTGCGCTGCACTGCTGCTGCATTTGGTCCCTGAGGAACGCGCTGTGCCGCAGCCTTCTGCCACGGCTGCTCCTTTTCCAGTGTGCTCCAGACAGGGAGGAGCTGCCTGAGTGTTCTAGCAGGGCTCTCGCAGTACATCGCGATTCCCCTCCTTCTGCCCCAGCCTGGGTTGCTTTCTGAGTCACCTCAATCAGGTGTGGATCTGCTCAGTGTCTGTTCTCACTGAGCGTTAGGCCCCTTCTCCCTTGTGGCAGAGCAGTGTTGCTCGGTGCAGCCGGGCAGCAGGGATGCAGCTGGCCACGTTGTGCTCTGCAGCGTGCGCCTGGCCCGGCTCACACCTCCTGCACTGCTCTGCAGGACAAAACAATCCTGTTGAGTACCTGAGAGCTGAAAGAAATGACGAACAATCCTCGGGAAGGGAGCGCTGCCCTTCCCTGCAGCGTCACAATCTGGTCTGCAGTGTCAGACAGAGGCCATCTCGTGAAGTCTGGTGGGGAAAGAAGTGACACAGAGCTTCCCGTGCCGGCGTTGCTGCGCTCTGAGCTGAGGCGTGGGGCAGAAATGGAGGCGTGGGGGCAGAAATGGAGGCGTGGGGGCTGTGCAGGCACAGGAAGGGGCCTGGGAGCAGCAGGAGAGAAAAGCAAAGAAAAAGCTGGGTTCTGCCGTGGCATTTTTGTCTGTTTTCTCCTGACCTGGGGGCGCTGTGCGGGCAGAGCTGGGGCTGCTGTGGTTGGATGTTGGATGTGGAGCAGAGGCTGTGAGACGACAGCGGCGTGCGGCGCGTCAGAAACACGCGTGGGTTCTGCAGTTGTAAGGACAGGTGCCAAGAGGTTTGATACGGGTTTCTGGGCTCTGTGATGTACAGTGTGAATAAATGCTTGCAGCTCTTAGTCTTTTTTTGATCGACGAAGCACTTTTTTATTAATATTATTTTTTCTTTGTATGTAAAGGAGGAAGCAGTATCTCTCCATAGCTGTACATATAACCTGTCTCTCCTGCAGAGAGTAAAGTGCTCCTATATTTTTCATTTTTGTCAAAGCGAGAAGTAAATACTTTAGAATTGTTAAATATATAAATAAAAGTGAATAAAGTGTAGCGTTTTTGCATGGGAGCATTCGCTGACACACGGCCCAGTTCTTTGCCTTCCTGCCTCCCAGCAGCAGGGCTGGGCAGAGCAGCCTCCCTTGGGTTCTCGCCTTTCTCCCCGTAACTCAGCCCCTCCTTCAGCGCCTGCTGCCCCTCTCGCCTTTGGAAGAGCGGATTTTCCTCTCCTCCCCCTGCAGGGCCATGGCTGTGCTCTCTCACACCTCAGGGCCGGCGCTGGTATTTACAGCTTCAGGAAGAAAATACAGCAACTGTTACAGACGCGCAGAGGAGCAGCGGGTTTCAATTACAAGATTTTACGGAGCTCCTCTTGTGTTGAGTCACTCCTCGGTGGTGCTGTGCAGCTGGGAGCCCTGTGCTGCGCCGCCTCAGAGCAGCGCCTGCAGAGCTGCTCCCCGCTGGATGCTGGGCACGGCGCACAGGTGAGGCAGTGTTTGCTTTGGTGGAGCAGCGCGGGATTCCGATCTCCAGCGTGCGTCAGAAGTGATGTCAGCATCACTTGCAGCACGGCTGTGACACACGTAGGAAATGAATAAGCTTGCTGGAGGTCAGAAATGATTTTTCTTTCATTCTGGTACTGACGTGTCCGGCCTTGATGGGATCTGAGTGATGGGGTTGGTGCGATTTACCCCCTCGCAGGGCTGTTACGGAGCAGCACTGGGCAGCAGCGCTGCCTTTGATGTGCAGTGGTGACTGCTTTTGTTGCCCACCTCTGCTGCCCGTGGAGCTGAGTGAGCAGGGATGGGGCGTCCAGCCAGGAGCAGTGCAGCAAAGCCTCTGCTTTGGGTCACCTTTAAGCCCAGCAGAGCTGCTCTGGGGCAAGGGAAAAAGAAAGAACCAAAAGCACGACTTAACCAACCAGTGAGCACTGATGGTTTTGTGATGGCAGCGCGGGCAGGGAGGAGGTGAGCAACTTCTGGTCAGAAAGACTTTGTTTCATCCGGGCAGCGTGAGGCAGGGCTGCAGCTCCTGTGGAGGCACCACCAAGAAAACGCCATCGGAGCACAGGCAGCACTGGAGAGCAGCTCTGTGAATGAGAAAAAACAAAGGTTTTCTGTTATAAATCTAAATTTCAGTTTTTCGTTGCTTTTCTTTATAACGAACGTCAGTGAGCACTCAGCTGCCGCTTCGAGTCACTGATTCTGACAATGATTGGATCACTCAGCATTTGCCTAAAAAGCAGTAAGAGCATCCCCACATCTCGCGCTGGCTGCATCTGCACCGGCAGTAAGGCAGCACCAGGGGATGCTGGGGGGGCTTTGCCGTGTGCCCTGATGGCAGCGTCCGCCCGGTGCCTGCAGCTCCCCGAGGCGGCTCGGATCGCTCCGTGCACGGCCGCAGGGCGCCCTCCTCCCCTAAGGAATGGGGTTGGCTTCCGATCAAAGCGCTCAGCAAAGCGAGCCGACGAGTGGCGACTGGGGCTGGCAATGTTTGATGCCTTTGTGGATGATCTGCGAGCCCAGCAGCAGCTCTGCAGGTGCCACCGTGCTGGGAGGAAGTGTGGATGTGCCTGAGGGCAGGAAGGCCCTGCAAGGAACCGCGGGGACATTGGTGTGTCCAGGGAAGGGCTGTGGAGCTGCGTGGGGCCTGGATGCGTTGAGTTCTGACAGGGAATGAGGGAGCTGGGATGGCTCAGCCTAAAGAGGAAAAGGCTCGGGGGAGACGTTATTGCTGCAGCTCCTGGAAGGAGGTTGTGGTGAGGCGGGGATCGGCCTCTGCTCCTGGGTAACAGCAACAGGACGAGAGGTGATGGCCTCAAGTTGCACCATGGAAAGTTCGGGTTGGATATTAGGAACAATTTCTTCTCCAAAAGAGTGGTGATGCAGAGGCTGCCCAGGGAGGGGGGGTCACCGTCCCTGGAGGCGTTCAGGAGCCATTGGGGGTGTGGTGCTGAGGGACACGAGCAGTGGGCACGGTGGGGTGGGGACCTCGGTGGTCCTTTCCAACCTTCATAATTCCATGGTTCTATAAGTGGGGCTGCTGTGGATATTTGTCTCAAAGCTGCACCGGTGCTCTGGGTCCAAACGCTTGTGCAGACCCAGCCACCGCTGCCCTGGAGACGGAAATACCTCTGTTCAGCAGCGACCCCCGTCGGGGGCTCTCCGTGCTCCCTGCAGCTGCCTCGGGTGCAACCTGAGCGTCTCCGTTACCTGTCTGAGTCACAGCCTGCTGCCCGCGGGGCTGCCGTCGTACACCAGGGCGCCGTCCAGGGACGATTCCTCGGCGCTGTAGCTGCCGTTCCTCAGCTCTGCAGCCGCGGGGCAGAGTTCCTGCCTGCACCACCTGAGCACAGAACGCGGCGGTTTGTCCGAGCCGCGCTGCGCACGCAACGCCGGCTGCTCCCGAGGGTTTCCCCGAGTCGGACGATTCTCGTCGCTGCGGGGTGGAGATTCCCCAGGGTGCAGGGAATGGCAGCGATGCTGCTGGGAACCAACCCAGAAGGCTGTTGGTCTCCACCCGGGATGTGACGTTCGGGTCTGACCGCAGCGTGGCCCCCATGCAGGCAGAGCAGCGCTGCGGCACGCAGGACACCTAACGTGGTCAGAGCCAGGGGCTTTGCTTACCTCTGAGCGGCACAGACATCAAGGCGGGAGGAGCCAGGCCGAGCCGCGTGCTCAATTAGCAGAGCTCCTGCGAAAGGACGCGGCGCGTCAGTGCTGCTGGGCTTCGGGTGGCTGAGCTGCTCAGCGCCGCTTCCCGTGCTGAGCTGCCTCTGCTGGAAAGGAGGTGGGGACAGCAGGCCGAGCAGCCTGAGCTGTGGGTGTCCCTGTTTGCTGTGGGGGAGTGGGACCAGACGGCCTTAAAGGTCCCTTCCAACTCAAGCTGTTCTATGATTGCACGACGGCTTTCTTTAAAACTCCGCTCCTGCGCTGGAGCGAAGCCCGGGGACAGCAGGAAGCTCACAGCCCTCCTGCTCTGAAATTCACCTCTGTCCTCCCTACCTGCGTAGATCCTTGCTAGGGAGTAGGAGAAGTCTCTTGCCGCCAGCTCCATGGGCGCTGCCCCTTCGGAAGCAGCTCCTCGGCAGAACCGTGCGAGGCGGCCGGCGGCATCCTGCACAGACTGCGCTGCGGCCTGCAGCTCCGCGCTGCTCCAAGCCGACTCCAGTTTGTTCTGCAAAACAATCACGGGAGGCGCATTGACCTCCTGCGTGGCGCCGAGGCCAACGAGGGGTCCGAGCACCCAAGGGGCTGCGGGTGTCCCTGCTCACTGCAAAGTGCTTTCCTCTGAAACGAGGCCCTCGGCGCTGTGCCGCACCTCTGCAGCGCTCGCATCCCTCCCTGCAGCGAGGCTGAGGGCAGAACGGGAACACGTTTGGATTTACGCTGTTTGTCCTTCAGTCTCCTTTGAGGCCGTTCACAAACCAACACCTACCAGCACCTGCAGCGTTGCTGCCGTTCCCCCAGCAGCACAGCAAAGCAGCGGCGCTCAGCCTGCGCAGCCAAACCTGTTCTGTTTTCTGTGCTGCTTCTACAACCTCACCCCAGGCAGCGCTGCCTGCCCTACAAGGACGGCGCAGTCCTGTTCTGCTGTTCTGTGCTCGAGGCAAAGCAGCACACGAGCGCTCGCGGGAGATGCTGTACGAATACAAAAAGCCCATCATTAAAGGGCCAAGACAAAGTGCAAAGAACCCTCCGAGCCACGGAATGCCCATGAGGTGGTTTAAAAATGGATCAAAGTCCCCAGGGGCACAAACGTATCCCCAGCAGCTTGGGTGGCAGCCAGCGCTGCGCCGTGCTGCAAACAGGCCCAGGCCACGCTGCCCTGGCTGTGCTCCCAGGCCAAGGGTTGTTTGAATGGTTTTCAGCAGCACAGCGATCAGTGGCAGCGTGGAGAGCATCAGAGCGGGGCTGGAAGCACAAGTGTCAGCTCTGTTGTTCTGTGGGCTCTCACTTCAGTAAGCTGTGCTGATTTCCTGCTGTGCTGAAGCTGTGGTTTGGAAAGGAGCTGAAACCATACAGCCCAAACTCTGCAGACCCCAGAGTGTCCCAGTCCCAACTGTTCCAATCAACGTAAGCCTGTAGAGGCCAGCTTCTTTCCAGGCCATTTTTAGAGCCTACCACCCTCTCCTCCACTCTCTTCAGTGTCAGACTGAACTGCTTGTTAATTAGTGGCTCTGCTCATTAGTCCTGCTTACGAGCAAACGCGGCTTTCTTGTTTGGTGGTCACATTGTTTGAGGCATTTTTCCATCAACGGAAGTTGTACGAGAGGATGGTAAGAACCTGTGCTGGAGCTCAGTGCCCAACTGCAGCCCTGTGAGCAGTCAGGTCGGGTGAATGCGACTGGGAGGAAGCGCAGGACGGAGCAGCTCCCTCCAGGATGCACCAGAGCCCACAGCTGAGCTCGTGTCAGCGCCACGCTCTGCACTTCACTTCCCATTCTCCCGTCTGCTGGAGTTGTGCTGAACTGAGCCCACCGAGGCACCACCTCTGCCCTGTGCCCCAAAGCAAACTCAGTGCTGAAGGCAGAGAAGCAGCCCAGAACTCTCACTTCTTCTCATGGGGGATGAGAAAGCAACGTCTGCAGGTGCTGAAATCCAGCAGCTTAGGATTCCCAAGCACAGCTGTGTGCTAATGGTCTGAATTGCTCTACCTCAGTGAATAATCCAGTTCCTGAGGGAATACCCTCTCATGTGCTCATCGTGCCTTCCGGGCTGCTTTGTGCGCCCCTCGATGGCACGGATTCTCATTTACCTTCAGGAAATTTGAGCTTCTTTCAACTCTCCGTGGCTGCCTTTGCCTGAGCGCCTTTAAAGGAGCAGCCTGTGGGTAAGGGCAGGGAGCTGCACCTCAAAGGAGGCAGCAGTGGGATTCCTTTGGCTCTTTCCATCTTTTCAGTGGGAATAAAAATAGAAAGTCACAATGCAGAAGGTGGCCCTGGAGGAGGTTTCAGATTTATCAGACTTGTGCTGCTTTTCCAGCTTAAGGAAAAACAACAGAGCAAAACAAACAGAAAAACCCCACAAAACTGATTTGGGGCTCAGGGAGGTGACTCACATTAAAAATAAACTCACATCGGTGCCTTTCTTGAAGAACAGACAGTGCACAGCTCCTCTTTGGAGAGATGAAATTATCTGCGTCTTTTGCAGCATGCAAGGATCCCAAAATCAACACTGCCTGTGCTCTGCTTTTCTAAGTGCCATTTAAAAAGCAGATTGTGAAACACCTCGGAGTGCTTGTCCACAGCCATGAGTTTGGGCATGTTCTCTAGCAGTCTCAGCCAGAAGCACCAACACCAAGGCTGCCAGAGCATCAAAGCAGGCTTACTGGTGCTTTGCTGAGGGCTCACCTGCACTGTGGAGAAGAAGACGGCCATCGCCTGCCCCCGGCTCTTGGTGAGGGACCTCAGGACGTCGAGCGATAGGACATTGGTTGTTCCTTCCCATATGGACAGCACCTGTGTGATAGGAGGGACTGTGAGAGCACAGAGGAGCTGCTGGGGGCTGAAAGCTGCCAGAAAGGACAGCGAAAGTGAGGCTGCAGAGCTACAGAGTTACAGGAGATCCAGACAATCTCCAGGGATTTCCTGCCTGACCACAAGTGGAAAGAAGCTCTGGTGAGGAGAGTTAGGGGGTGAGTCTGGGACGTACAGGAGCTGCTGATCCCAGCCTGAAGCACTGATCCCAGCCTGAAGAGTGACTGAATTGAGGTGAAGGCAGTTCAGCTGTGATAGGAAGGGATGGAGCCTGGCTGCACCTCTCCTAGGCCTCACTGAAGGGCTGGCTGCTCACTGGGGAAGGATCTCTTTCTGGTGATCCCTGGGTGGAGCTTTGCCCTGCAAACCTGGAATCTTCTGATAGGGGTGACCAATCTTCTTCCCTTCCTTTGTAGCACCTCTTTATTGTCCCAGTCCTTCTGTCATTACATCTCTGTTGTGATGCCTTTCCCGTTGTGCTGATCTGTCCAATCCCTACAGGTCTGTGTTTTCATTTGAGCCTGTCTGTGCCAGGCAGCTAAGAAGGGATGGAGTGAGGCACAAGCTTTTCCTGCTGTTCTCTTACCAGAGTATCACGAACTATGACTGGCAAGCCTGTATCCTCCATGTAACCTTGTCCTCCAAAAGACTCCATTGCCTCAATAGCAACGGCAGAAGCCTGCAAAAAAAAGCAGAGAGCTGACAGAATACACAACACACAGAGGGAGAAAGTGGCCAGAAACCTCTGACATCACAGCGCAGTTCCTGCCAGGACAGCACTGCCGGGCCCCTGAGCTGCTGAGGCAGACTGCTGGTTACAGGGGGAGCTGCAGCCTGGGGAACGGAGACTGAGCAACACTGGGAGGAGATGTGGGAGCAGCCAGAGCTGGGGAGAAGCTCCAGGAGGGGTGTTTGTCACTGGAGTTCTCTCTAAGTAAGGGCAAAACTGTGCTTGCTTGGTGCATAAAGGAGGTGCCTGTATCTCAGGAGAATCTTTGCCACCTGCTTGCCTATGATGTGTAAGCTTCTGCATCCAAGCTGATGGCAGGTAAGGAGGGGCTGGACCCCCGAAGTGAAGGCTAATGCAACTAACACTGCTACCTCTCTTCTGTTTATTCATAACTAGGAGAAGGATATTTCCTGTGGCTCAGGGTCCCAACTTGGCCTTGGAGCACAGGGAGTTCTGCTAAAGCCTCAGCAGCGTTCCTCTGTGGCAGATGCAGTGCATCAGGGCGCTTGCTCTGCCTGTTGTCCCCATGGCTTGCCTGCTGGAAGGACCCCGGCGTGCTGGGTGCTTCCTGAGAGCAGGGTTACAGGTCTCCCAATTGAAAACCCAGCCTTAGAGCAGAGCAGCCATCATGCTGCAGGCCCTGCAGGGCGGTCGCTCGCTGCCTGTACCGCTGCTCCTGCTGCCCTCTGTGTTGGCTGTGCTACAACATCTCTTTTCCAGCTCTTTGGGAACGCACAGCCCTGCTCCAGACAAACCCATTGCTTGTTCCATACCTGCTTCCCCGTGTACAGTTTGGCAACTGGCACAAGCAGTCTCAAGAGGAGCTGGTCCTGCTCGCTTGCCATGTTGGTTTCTGCAAGTCCAAGCAGCCGAGCCATTTCCATAAGGAGAAGAAAAGCCCCTCGTGTCTGCACCTGTGTGGGGAGAAGCAGGGAGCTTTGCTGGCGTGGGTCCTGAGCTCAGACTGGTCCCAGCTGGGCTGCTGAGGTGCCACGAGCCTGTCTGGAAGTGGCAAAATCCAACCCTTCCCAAAATTGTCTTCAGAGACAAAGACCAGTGACCAGCAAGGCACGACGTGTTAGAAGCAGCCCAGTATGAAGAAAGGGACGATGCCATCTCCCTGGGCCTAACAGGAGCCTTATCAAAGCTTCCATCAGGCACCCAGGCCACAAATCCACGCTCCTCCAAATGATAATGGACACAAGGCTGCACCTCTGAGTCTCAGACCACCAGACTTGCAAAGTCTTTGCCAGATTCCATGCGACATTCGACGTGCTGCCTTGGCAAGCTGCAATGTGCCAAGCACTGGGAGATGGAGATTTGTAGCTCCTGTGTGTGATGGTGTGCTGTGGGACTGCGTGGGACCTGGCCTTTCTTTTGGAGGAAGCTCTGGCCGTAGAATGCTACAGGCTAGGAGATGCTAGAGCTTTAAATTGGGAGATGCTGGAGCTTTAAACTGGGAGATGCTGGAGCTTTAAATTATGCTTGGCAGCTGTTGGGGTAACATTCCCTCTCCTCCTTGCTCCGTTCTGCATGCAGTTTTAAATGCTGGTTTAAATCTTTGCACTACTGCAGCCCAAGAATGAACAGTGCTGTTACACCAGCTAAAAGAAACAGTGCCTGGATGGATGAGGAGAACTGTGTGCCTTCTTTTTGAAGTTCTGGCAGTGGGAGGAAGCTGCTGTGTCTCGGGTTTAGCGGGCTGCTCCAGCTCAGCTTTGAGGCAGAGCTGTGAGACACTTTGCCATGAGCGAAGGCCCACAGCCAGAGCCCCAGCTCACTCCTCTCCTCTACCACTTAACCATTATTTCACTGGATGCAAATTACATCTGGAGGCTGTATTCAAATGGGTGCCTCGTGGTGGTGAGCGCTGTGTGGGCACACTGACAGCAAAGCCATCTCTGAATATGCAGTGTGCCTCCTCGGGGGTCCCTACAGCCCGCTGAGAACAGAACAGTTCATCTCCTGTTGTGTGAGCTGCCAGCTGTGCTGTGTGAGTCTGTGTCAGCCCTGCACGTCTGTTAAGTGCAGCTCAGGAGGCTGTGGTGCCTTGCTTGGAAGCTGATGTAATGACTGACTCCAGAGGGCACAGCGCAGTGGAAGCACACTGAGCTCTGGCGTCCCTCTCACAACAGCTCCAGGTCATTGCTATTAGGGTAACCTACGGTGCAGCACAGAAGCCAGACCCAGCATCAGCTCAAATCCCAGCAGACTGTGGCAATTCCCAGCTCCCTACACCTCATCTCCACACGGAGCCAGACTGGCTGTGCTTTCAGGCCACCGAGGATCCTTGTCCTCTTTCTGTTTTCCCAGACTCGGCTCTGCTCCTCACCTCCATCCGGGCGATCGTCTGCATGTGCAGGGGATGATCTTTGAGGAGCTTCCCGAAGGCAACCCGTTTTAGGGCATACTGCCTGCTCAGACTGATCATCCTGGGGAGAATACAGACAGTGCAAGGTGTCAGAGAAGCATCTTTCCTACTTCCTTTCCAGGCTTTTCCTTCCAACCATCCTCACTGGATGAGCCTTGCCTGGCTCATTCCAGCCCTCACACAGGCCAGCTCTTTCCAGCACTGCCGGCTTCCAGACCCGTGCCTGCAGAGGCAGCGCTGAGCACTGCAAACTCCCCCGTGCTCATAAGCTGTTCCTTCAGCTCTGGGGGGATCCGTGCTGCCTTCACCTTCTCATGGAAGCTACTGCACCGATGACGTTGTGGATCCGAGTTATGTTCAGCATGTTGGAGATGGAGGCCACTCCACGACCTTCTGCAGAGATCTGAAACCACCAAGGAACAAAGGTTGGAGCCGAAGCACCTCCCTCTCAGTAGGAGATGTGCCCAAAGGCAGACAGATGCAGCCATCCACTCTGCTTCTGTCTATCCTCCAGTGGCAGAGACCTGCTTGCTTTGGAACACTGCTGTCTCATTTTAGCCACATGGCATAATCAGAGAGATTTGGGGACCAGCAGGAGTCAGCGTGATCAGCTCTGGTTCCTGGCTGCTTGTTCTACCTGTGTGCTACGCAGAACTGTCCCTCAGCTGGGCTAATGCAACTGCATCAGGGAAATGACCAGCTTAAAACCACTTTCTTTTTTCTCCTGCACGATTTTCCCTGAGCCGTTCACAGCTTCAGCAGAGCCCTGCTGGGGAAGGATTCTGCGGAATGAGCAGCCGGCCCCGGATGTGGGAGGTAGCCCCGCTTTCAGGTGGTATCGCCGCCAACCCCTCCAAGAGCAGCCTGCCTTGCCAAGCCCGCCGAGTCCCGGGAGGAGGGGCAAGCCTCACTCACCAGCTCTGCTTTAGCTCCATTTAGCCACAGCTCTGCTGTCGCCATCTGCCGTGTGCCCAACTTCGCTTTCAGTCTTTGCACTTGGATACCATTCAGCTTTTCCTCCTCATCTCGAACCCTGAGGAAGAACAGGGACAGCCCGCCGGAGCCCTGGGGTCGTTCGAAAGGCATGCAGAGAAGATTTCATGACAATGAAAAAAGGAAGTTAAAAGTTCCCCTCCTCCCCCAGGCGTTCCTCCGCAGAACAGACCTGTTTTACACGTCCTTCAGCATCCTCTATCCTGGCCAGGGTCAGTGCCATATCAGAATCAGCAGCTGATGTAAACCATTTAAAACCGTAGAGATGATATGTGCCATCTGGCTGCTTTCTGGCCACCGTCTCTGTGCCATTAGCTGCAAAAAAGGAGCAGAAGATCACGGCTTTACAGGAACTTCTGTATCAATCGATGCTGATTTTCAGTTTAAGCAGCGGCTCTTTAAGTCGCCTCATGCTGTCTGGATGAAATATGGATTAGCTGCTAATCTCTTTCACTGACACTGGATAAGAAATGCAGCCAGAGTTAAGAACTGGAAAGGAAAAACGTTCAGTTTAGCTGCAAGTCTACCCAGCAACAGCCCAATCTAACAGTGGTAAGGCAGTGCTCTGTAAGCAAAACGCGCTGTGTTTGTAACACAAGGCCTCTGTTTAGGAGCTACCTCAGCCAAGAGCCACAAGGGATGCCATCATCCAGAGCCCTGCAATGATGCCACCTCTGTAGCTCTCCCTGCACAGCTGATCTCCACTCCTCCAACTGGGCAGAAGGTTCATCAGAGCCAGGTGACTCCCTTTCCTGCAGTGGGGTCCTGAGGTTTCCCAGCTATTGCAATCATTTGCCAAGGGCCAAAGCTGAAGGTCAAGGCTGCTCCTCAGTCCCAGCTGCCCTGCTCAAGGTCTGGATCACAGAGCAGACATCAGAGTGCGACCTGAGCAAGGAGCAGAGCTCCGTTCCTGTGAGCAGTGCACAGGGGCTGGGCCTTCTGTTGGCCAAACACAGCTCTGTGTGTAGGATTTTTTGGACGTTCTCACCCTCCCTGGCACAGGTGGCTGCTGCCCACCCAGCACGTACCAACATCAGAGCCCCCCCGGCGCTCAGTCATCCACTGGCCAGAGGTCCAGAACTTCCTGGGGTCACGAGATGTCAGACGGTCAAAAGCATTTCTCAGAGATGCAGGAACACCCAGGGACTGTTTGGGGGGAGGGAAAAGAAACCAAATCATACCGAAGTAGATGCAATTAGACATTTGCCTTAATTAACACTGGCTGGTCCTACGAGCATCCTCACCAGGCTCAGAATGGATTGTCTGCAGTCAGGGCTGTCCTGCACTGCATCTGTTTGCACTGCTGGCAGTGTGAAACCACCTGGCTTGAGTGCAGCTGCACGGCGTGGGCAGGAAGTGCAGCCTGAGGAATGCTGAGCAGCACTGCTCACCTTGAACTGCTGCACTGCTCGACAGCTGGACAGAGCTCCCAGGGCAGCCCCAGTACATCTGTGTGCATCTTTGGATGTCACCAGCATCCAGGAAAAGGTAATTTCCTTGTGGAATTTTGTTTTTCTTCAGTTAGGATGCCCAGGGTTAGCTACTTTCTGCCTTGCTTTTCCCTGCACCCCACATAGCTAGTTACATAGTGCAAAGATGTCTCTGAAACACAGCCAGACCTTCAGACTGGGAAGCCTTGATAGCTCAGATCCATCCATCATGTTTGGATCTGGCTCAATTCATTTAACTCCTGCTCCACAGAGGGGACAGGGAAAGAAAGCTGTTGAACCTCGTAGTAAGAAAGGTGGGACAACTTTCCAGCTCCTGCAGTGCTACTGCAGGGTTTGTATGCAGTAGAGGCCTGGCTGTGCAAGTACTGTATGCAAACATAGAAGCTGGCCTGGGTGCACAGGCTGTAACTGAAGCAGAAAGTCAGGTGGGGGGAGATGGAGCTGAGTCACAGAGCAAGGCAGGGCCACGTCCAGAGCCAGAAGGCAGATCAGCTCTCCCTGGTCCTCGGCCAGCTCTTCAGGACGTGGGCTGCGTCTTCAGAGAGCAGCTCAGCTCATACCTCAATGACTTTGGCTGCTCCATCAGTCATGGCCAGCGGACAGTTGAAACCCCCAGAGGCGGTTGAAAACAAGTACAGTTTGACAGCCTGGTGCACACGGCTAGGAGAGAGAGTGAAAACAGACGGGATTCACAGCAGTTCAGCAGCAGGAGGATATGCAGGTGTCTTGACTAGGAACAGAGGGGAAAAACACAGCCAAAATGGGTTGGTTAGACCATTTGTTTCTAGGAGAGAAGAAACGGCTTCAACCACGAAGGCAGAAGCGGAGCAGAAATGTTTCTTGGTCCCAGAGGAATTGCGAGCGTGGGGCTGGATGGAAGGCAGCGATTGCCATCTGGTGCACATCAAGTGCACGTCTCAAAAATAAGAAATCTGGGTCTATCTCCAGAGGCTGGAACACAATGAAACTGCAAGTAAAATTCCAGACTTCTGTGTTACGAGTAATGCATGTAAAGCTGGAGCAGCTCAGGGAAGTCAGGCCCCAGAATGAGGAAAGCGACGCCAGAGAGCATTATGATCAACTGCAGGCCATTAGTTACACCTTATCACTGCTGATGTGGAACATTGCAGTGGACAGGCGCTGCTGTTCAGTACAGCAGTAGGTGTGCTTTGGTTCACGCATCACCTCCTACCCATTACACAACAATTCAGTCCTTCCAGATGCTGAACACAGCCTGCAGGACACCAAGTCGCTCCCATCCCACCCGGTTACCTCCAGTTGGAGTATCTTCTCTCATAGGCCTCAGCAATCAGCCCCTCCTCTGCTGCAATCTCCTTCATCCTCTTCCAGGCTGAGCAGGTGACAATGTGATCCACCCGCTGCCCCCAGGCGTCGTACTGCCGAAATACAGGGGGATTCAACTCACATTCCCATCCTAGAGATCTGATCTTGGTTAGCAGACGGTTTCCAAACCCCTCCAGCTCCTGGCTCACCTCCTCCAGTACCTGTAAAGCAACGAGAGCCTTTCAGTTCTCACTTGGAAGGCGAGGGGCCTCAGTGCTAATGGCAAAGGCAAAGTCCTGGCCGTTCTGTTCTGGGCACTGATGATCTCTTGCCACTTGGCTCACCGTGCTCTGTGACGCGGCAGGACAGCTTGTCTCTTGGCCTCTGCTGGCACAGCTGTGCTCAGCTGTCACGTTTTTTTTTTCACAATCGTTTTTTTTCAAGTTACTCCTGGCAGCATCTCTGGGTTTTACAGAAGACAGAAGAGTTGTTGTATCGGGGCTGAGAGCCACACAGATGCATGCGAGGGAGGGATTTGGACGAGACGACCTCGAGATCCCTTCCAACCAAAGCCACTCTGTGATTTAGTGCTGGAAAAGAACGCCAAGGAAAAAGGTGCCAAAAATGGAAATCCTTCATCTCTGTAGAAAAACTTCCACTGAAATCACCAGTTAACTCCTTATCAGATGGGACAAGAAAGAGGGCTCGATCACCCATGGCCCTGCAGACATTCAAGGCCAGCCGGGATGGGCAGCCTGACCCGGTGGTTGGCACCTCTGCCGTGGCAGGGTTGGAACTGGATGGTCTTCAAGGCCCCCTCCAACCTAAGCCATCCCATGCTGCTCTGACTTGAGCTTCTGCCTTGCACATAAGGTGTGTCTACATTCACATTTCCACTCTGCAGCCAGCTTCCTGAATGCCCCCAGATAAAGATTCATTAACTCTCTTTTTAGCCAGGCTTGGCTGCCTTGGACACGGGACTCTGTCCATGGCTAATGGACAGAAACCATCACCTGCAGAGAAATGACTCATCCCCAGCTCCCCGTGTTGAGGTGATGGAATTGCCCTCTGCAGGTGCTTGCTCCTCTTCACTGTCTGCAGCCAGAGCCTGGTGAGCATTAGACATAAACAACCTGATATAGACAAGGTTAAAGCTGGGTAACCCAGCCCCTAGCGTGGATGGTTAGCAAAAATGTGTCCAAAGCTATCATGGGGCGTCACGCGAGAGCCTGAACAAGATTAATTTTCAACAGAGGAATACTTTTTGCTGTTCTCTAGGCCCATAAAAGATGCTCATTTCCTCCTCGATAATTGCAGTTGTGGAGGTGAATGCCATATTTGCTGTGACTGAATGGTGCAGTTATAAAACGCATTCGTTTGCCGCTGCAGAAATACAAACCCTGCTTCCTTTCCCTGCTTCCCCTTGCATTGACTTTTCATCACACTCCATCCCGTAGGACTGATCCTTCCACTGCTCTGTGTAATGAGAACCCTTCACATGCTGTCCAGCCTGGAAGTCTCCATCCTCACAACACACGTTGTTTTTTCAGGTGAACATTGCAGCAGCCTTAGAGATCACAACACAAGCCCACAGGAGCGCTGGGTGCGTGCTCCAAGGCTTATTGCCCTGTAACTATTTGAAAGCTGGTTCAGAGAGACAAGCTAGGAATCCAAAGTAGAAGGATTTCACTGATCCCTGAAGCACCAGAAGGACCTTTGGACCATTTAGCTGGAGGTTTTTGTGGGCAGATGGACATGCGTTCAGCACAGGTCTCCTGTCAGCACGCTCCTGTCAGCTCACTACCAACTCTGTACCCATATCTTCTAAAGAAAGCACAGCACCAAGCCGTGAGCTCTGCTCCTGACCTACAAACCTGCCCAACCGTGTTTATTTCCAAGGGAAAAGAACAAAATCAGAGCTGCTACGTTTGTGCATAACGCACTGCTGCTGGGGCACCTGCAAACCGTGAGGTTCCAAGCTGCAGCCACGAGCCAGCAGCTGCTCTCCTTCACCCCAATCAGTGCTTTGGTGTTCCAGGGATGAACGGAGTGAAAACACACCGAGAGCACAAACACATGAGCCTTGCTATTGAGATTTCTTTACAGAGGGGTCAAAGATCAGTGGGTATCTCGAAACTGCGCTTAAAAAAACCCAGCAGGTGCTTCCTGCTGTGCTCTCCAGAAATCACCTTCAAACAAAGAAATCCCTTGCTCCGTTCCAGAGACATCTCTATGTTCACCGCTAAACACGGGTAAATAGCACGACAGGAATCAACACCCACTGTAGCCGTGTCTGCTTCAGGGCGATGCGCCACGCTGCGGCTGCTGCTGTCCTGGACGGGAGAGGGGAGTGCTGGCATGGAGAGCAGCTCCGGGCTGCGGGCAAGGCGGTGCTGCGGGAGGCTGAGAGCAGAGCGAGGCAACACTGCCCCGCTGGGACCAGAGGCAGAAATGGAAGGGAGATCTGCTGATGTGGGTATTGCAGCCGCTTTGTCTCCCTGGGGAAGGAGTGGAGAGCAGCTCTGACCCTCTCAGTTCTTCAGGAAATGGGAAGAGTCAGGTGCACAGTAGGAGCCGTCCTCCTTTAGAAAGGCCACAGCCTTTCTCCACTGCTTGGAGATGCCTCATTCCTGTCTTCCATCATGGCAGTGCCAATAGCAAGCTCACGGTGCAACTGTTACACTCTTACTGCCCCAAGACCTTCCTGACCTGCAGACCAAGCAGGAAGAGCTTTGCTGGCAGCCAGGATACATCTCCTTTACTCACACAGTGGCTTTACGGGCTCTGCTTCTGCTGCAATGAAACACAGAGGTCACACCCAGCTCCGTGAGATCTGACCCTCAGCAAGTGTGACAAACTGCAGTCCCTAGGGGGGAAGGCAGAGCACAGGCAGTGCAGGGAGCCCAGGGCTTCCTGAGGGATGGAACCTCACAGCACAGCACGGGCTGCTGCTCCTCCTCTCTGTGCCCCTGCAGCTCTGTGCTGAGCCTTTGCTCTCTGAATATCAACTCAGAAAAGCCAAGGACTGTTGTTGAGAAGCAGCAATCCCCAAAGGACCTTTGCATCCTCTTCAGCTTACAGCTGAGATCAGCCTTGTTACTTTGGCAAGGGATTTCCTTGAAAATCCTGCTTCCCCAGAGAGAGGGAAGGGGAAGAGCACAGCAGATTTGGGATGTATCTCCATTTTTTTTCCCTTTCTGTGAAATTTCTTACTCTGGATGACACCAGACAACAAATGTACTGACAATTTCCAAACACTCTTCCAGGAACACCCAGACCAGAGGAGCCCACTAGGCCCTTTCTATTTCTGCTTATGTCCTGGGAGTGTTTTTCACCCCTACACACACAACAAGTTTTAAGGAACGCTGCTAAATTCCCCCCAGTTAAACACGGAAGGCACGGAAGGGTTCAGAGAAAGGTTCTGTTCACAAACAGTGACCCAGCCAGCACTGCAGTGTACACACACACACACACACGCACACGTCAGACCTTGGGAGGAAGGTGTGCCTGCAGGTAACTCCGAAGCAAAGCATCCTCCAAATACTGGTTCCCGGGCTCAGGCCGCTCTTGGAAGAGGGTCTCAGCTTCTCTTCTTGCAACAGGCATTTCCAGGTCTGCTCCCACTTGTTTCTCCTGCAGGCCGACCTGCTGGCCTTGCCCTGCTGTTGTTCTGAATCCTCTACAACTGCAGGCTTGGCACCTGTCCCAGCTGTGACGCAGCCTGCAGGTAGCACCAGGTCTGCACAGAGCCAAAGTAAACATGACTGCAGAGCTTCAGCACGTCACCCCAACAGCTATCACCTTCACTGCATCATGTTTTCTTCTAACGCTGTCATATTATTCTTGAAAATGAACCCTCTTTTCTCCTCCCTTGGGGAGGAGCTTTTCAGCAGCTGTTGTTGACTTGAACTAGGGCAAAGGTCTTTGGAAGGAGATCAGAAAAGGGCCTGGAAAACACAGGTACTCAGAAAACATCGTGTCTGTCCATAGCAATTGTGCAAATCGTCGTCCAAATTTCCCAGAGTCGAGGGACCAGCCTTGGTGTGCATCCAGCAGCATCCCCAGTGGATTGCCTGGAATAATGAGTTTGGAAATTGTAATGAGATGAGAAGAAAAACTGACGGAATTCCTGGGAATGGGAAGAAATAGTTTAGGTGGGTTATTCTTATTATTCCACATTATGATCTTATCCTATATTATTTGGCAGGCGAGATGTTAGGAAGAAACTCTTCACTCAGAGGGCAGTGAGGCGCCTGCCCAGGCTGCACAGAGCTGCGTGTGCCCCGTCCCCAGTGCTGCTCCAGGCCATGGATGGGAGCTGGTGGGACAACCAGCCCAGGGCTTGGGGCTGGGGGCTGTAAGGGCCCTTCCAACCAAAGCCATTCTATGATTCTGTAAACAAGGTACTGGTTAATAAAAGGGGACTCATCTTCCTTGGATCCCTGAGTTGTGACAGAAGCTGCAGAAATAATTTACTTCTTGTGAAGTCTCCGATGTCATGGAGTCTACTCTGCCCTGGTGAGGCCTCATCTGGAGCACTGCGTCCAGTTCTGGGCTCCCCAGTACAAAACAGACAGGGATCTCTTGGAAAGAGTCCAGCGGAGGGCCACAAAGATGGTGAGGGGCCTGGAGCATCTCTGCTATGGGGAAAGGCTGAGTGATCTGGGTCTGTTCAGCCTTGAGAAAAGAAGACTGAGAGGGGACCTGATCCAGGTCTATGAATATCTAAGGTGTGGGGGCAGAATGGCGAGGCTGGACTCTTTTCAGTGGTGAGTGGAGACAGGACAAGGGGAAACGGCCGGAAACTGCAGCATAGGAAGTTCTGCACCAACGTGCAAAGGAACTTCTGTACAGTGAGGTGACGGAGCACTGGAACAGGCTGCCCAGGGAGGCGGTGGCGTCTCCTTCTCTGCAGATGTTCAAGACCTGCCTGGATGCCGACCTGTGCGACCTGCTGTAGGGAACCTGCTTTGGCAGGGGGTTGGACTCCATGAGCTCTGGAGGTCCCTTCCAACCCCTACGATTCTGTGATTCTGTGAGTCGGTCTAATATTGTCTCTTTTTCCCTGGGTTCGTACCTGGAAACCCTAAGAATTTTGGCTTTGAGTAATGTAAAACCTGCACCTCCACTTGGATGGTGACACGCTGACAGCAGTGCCACGATTCCAAACATCAGCGTGCTGTTACAAGCACGGATGTTGGAGACTTGTGCATGGGGTTAAAGGCAGGGATACGCCTGGCTGCAGCACGAACCATGGAACCATCTGAGTTGGAAGGGATCCTAAAGGCCGCCTGGTCCATCTGCAACGAGCAGGGATGCCTACAGCTGGTCAGGTAACTCAGAGCCCCGTCCCCTGACCTTCCAGGGAAGGGACACCTGCTGGGCAGCTGCTGCCGGAGCCTCACTGTCCTCAGTGAAAAAACTATTTTCTTTATATCCAGTCTAAAACTCCTCTCTTTTAGTTTGAAATCACTTCTTGTCCTATCCTGAGGAGGGCCACAAAGATAATCCAAGGGCTGGAGCACCTCTCTTAATGAAGGCAGGCTGAAGGAACTGTGCTTGTTCAGCCAGGAAAAGGGAAGGCAGTGGGGAGACCTCACTGTGACCTCCCGGTATATCAAGGGAGTTTAGAAACAAGTGGAAAATCAACTTTTTGCACGGGTAGGCAGTGATAAGGGAATGGTCTGTCAGCTAAAGAAGGGGGATTTAGCGTAGAGGTCGGGGGAATTTTACTGAGGGAGCTGCGAGGGGCTGCAGCAGCGCCCCCTCAGCCGCCCGCCCAGCCGCCTCCTTCCGCCCGCCCCCAGCAGGTAGCGCTCGGGCCGCCCCCAAGATGGCGCCGCGCTGAGGCGAACCCGCGCTTGGGGTGAGCGGCGCTGCCTCCGCACCGTGCCGTTGTGGGCCGGCTGCTGTGGTGTTCTGAGGCCCCGAGGAGCTGCCGAGGAGGCTTTTCCACTGTGTATAAATCGACTGTAAACAGGCTGCACTGTAGAAAACACATTGCGTTACCGTTATCACATTGTTAGGTGGCTCACAGGCAGACATTTGTCTGCTTGAATTGCATTCCGGACCTGGCCAGAGAGCGTGTAGTGAAACATGGTTTAAAAAATAAAGTATCCTAAGATGAATGGGTAAATATTGAAAGCCTTGCAGGCTCACAGGTGTCAAATAGGGTTTTGTGCTGTAAGCTGCCCTGGTTCCTCAATGCAGGTGCAGCGCGTGGCCTAATGGCAGCCGGTGCTTTGGCGCCTTGGTTTGCTCTGGCCAGGATTGATGTTAATGTGGTTCCTGCTCACTCTTCCTAAAATACCAGCTGCCACTGGCAGGCTTCCAGTTCTTTCTTTTTTTAATGCTTGTAGGAATTAACATTGAGGCTTGGAATATGAGAAATGCGATTCAAAAGAGCAGTGGCTGACACCAGGTACAGCTGTGGCCCTGAATATCAAGTAGCCCCGATGGTTTACTGGTGAATAGTGAGAGTTCTTCTGCACGCTTCTAGCCATAGAGTAGCCACAGTTTGCTTTGCAAATCTCTTAGATCTGAATAAGCCCGATGAATCTGGTTCTTTAAGGAGAAAGGTTCTTTTTCATCTTAAGGAAGATGAAAAGTGCAATGACTGTATTTTCCAGGGGTCTCATGTTTGGTGTGGGTTTTTTTTTCAGGTTTTGACTACAAGTGGAAGACAGCTCTTTGAAATACAGGATGGCCACTTGTCAGCTTTTAAGTAGGCCGAAGAATAAGTCCTCTAAGGTAAAAACCTTGAAATGCCTCCCTGTTTTGAGCCTGGCATGTCTGTATCTTGTGAGCTGGGAAGACCGTGTTATTCTTAGTTGACTTAAAAAGCAGATATTTCCAATTTAATGAGTCCAGGAAGCATGAAGTTTTGACATATTTGGCTAAATAAGTAAAGGCTCATTAGGCGTGCACAGAACTTCATTAGCAGGAAATAAGGCAATGACCTAATAGGGGAGCTAAATTTAGTGTCCTTTCCACTGGGATTTTTCCTGTTTAAATCATGCAGTGTTTAGTATTTACATTAGCTCCAATCTTAGATGTACTGTTTACGTCTCTGTGTTAAAATCGCTCTGAAAACTAGGTCTGCCTCCAGTGCTGACAGGCTTAGTCTGCTGTCACAGCTCACACAAAGCTGTAGCAGGCAGGGAACTTTGGTAAGGAAGTGAGCACCTCAGCAGTTGGCACAAAACGGTGCACGCTTTTGATTCTAAGGCACTCCTAAGTGCCTGCGTGGGTGCAATGGAGGGGTGGGAATGTTCAGCCATATTAGAGAGGAAATAATGACCCATGTGGTCTGCAGCTGAATAAATCATGTCGGTAACTCTCCTTGAAAAACTTGGTTAGACATGAGTCCTCTCTGTGTAATATGAAGACCAGGGAAATGTTAACATTATCTTTTAAAGTTACCCTTCCTAACTGCTAAGAATCGTTTCTAAGTGTAATCCTTGCCCTTCTTTTTCAGGAATTTCTGTTGTTCCCCAACAAAATCACTACTAAGCAGCAGTCTGTGGTGCTGGTGAAAAGACTTCTGGCCATCTCTGTCTCCTGCATAACATACCTGAGAGGGCTGTTCCCTGAGAGTTCTTATGGAACACACTATTTAGATGGTAACCCTTGCAGTTTGTTCAGAATTCTTATTCGTACTCACTATATTTTAGCAATTATCAGGTAATACAGATTACCTTCCAGCTGCTCATTTATGTGTGACTTGAGTCTATTGGGAAGGTAGCTAATAGGCCTTCTCAAGTCTTGATAAAGATAGTGCTTCTGCATCAGATAGAGAGCACAGAAGATGACCTAGAGCTATTGGCAACTCGTGGCTTTCCTATTCATATTTCTTTTGGTTTATAATTGTTCCTTGCTATTGCCAGCCCTTTGAGTCAGGCCTCAGGTCAGGAGCTTGACTTAGACGTTGCTGAGTATTTAAAAATTAGCTCAGATTGGTGTATGTTATTGTCCTTTGGATTTCTGAGCCCTTGGGGTTCAAATTTTCAGCTTGCTTTGTTAGATAGAAAGTAGAATTGCTTTTTCCTTTCTGTGAAAATTGACTAGCTCACATAATTGCATGTGCTTGGTCAGAACTATCAAGAGAACCACAGTCAGAACTTTAATGAAGAAAAATATCGCTGTGAGACTTACTGTAGGATCACAAGAATCATAGAATCATTGAGGTTGGAAAAGACCTTTAAGGTCATCCAGTCCAACTGCCCACCTGCCACCAGTGTTGCCCACTGTTCCTTAGTACCACACCTCCACATTTCTTGAACACCTCCAGGGATGGTGACTCAGCCTGGGCACCCCGTTCCAATGCCTGACCGCTCTTTTGGAGAAGAAATTGTTCCTAATATCCAACATGAACTTCGCCTGGTGCAACTTGAGGCAATTCCCTCTAGTCCTCTCACTACTAACCTGGACGAAGAGCAGAGCCCAACTTACCACAGCCTCCTTTTGGGGAGTTGTAGAGGGCAATAAGGTCTCACTGAGCCTCCTCCATGTTAAGAGTTAGTGATGCTTTGCTTCATCAGCATCTTTTTGTTCATTTGAGATATGTTAGCGGGGTGTGAAATGTCTCCATTTATTGCAGTCTATCTCCATGTTTTTACTTAAGCTGGTAGTTATCCTGAAACAAGGTTACATGCACTTCATGGGCTTTGAGGGCACAGGAAACCCTGAATAGCCACTGGTCCTTCTAATCAAATGTCAAGTCTTTCAAGTGTCTTTTTGATCAAGAATGTTAACATCTGACCTGCTCATGCTTTTGAGGGCTCTTTGGTTGACTCCTAAGGTGTTACAAATTCACTTCTTCATTTTCAGGATGTTTTTCTTCTTGCTCTGAATGCCTGAAAACAGAGGCAGAAGGAACTAGGTGAAAAATGTTATCAGAAGTAGTTTATTTTATTCTACAGGCCTTTATCTCACAGAGATGTTGGTGAAGTCTGAATGCAGAAGTGAAGGTGTTTTATGGAAATACCAGAGTTGGTGGGCATGGAGAAGGGAAGTTGTTGGCTTTTCAGAATTAAGCCAACTCTAGACTTCTGTCAGGACCCAGATCATCTGAGGAAAGTCTTTGACATTTGAAAATGCAGCAATCAGCTTGTGTCAGCCCACCTGGGACTCAGTGGAAAACCAACATTTCCGCTAGGAAGAACCTCCAGATAAAGTATTTTATCCAAAAAAGGGAGGATAGCTGGGGTGGTTTCAGCATTTGCCCAATAGCTGTGATAAGGATGGTAACTATGTGCTAAATTTGGTTTTGCAGACCTCTGTCTAAAAATTCTACGAGAAGATAAAAGCTGTCTGGGATCGTTTCAGATAGTCAAGTGGTAAGTGAGTAACAGTGAAACTAAGACAAGATTGTGCTGAACAGCAAGACATCTACCCCTCACATTCTTCTTCTTCCTGAGTTTGAAAACACTGTGCCCAGCAGCACTATTGGATATGCCTGTGCAACTCACTCTGCTGCAGTGTGTGTGCTTGGCCCTGTGCGTAAGCAAGACAGAATTAGCTGACAGAGATCATGTGAAGCCAGGGCCTGTTGGAGTGTTGACTTTAGTGAGGTCATGGTCAGGCTCCAAAGCACACACAGGCAGCGTAGGTAGGGAGTGAGAGTAAAGAAAATCATGAGACTGATTCTGCTGTTGTCTCATATTTTCCAGTTTCACTTTTATAGTGATTCTTGCAGCTTGTTTTTCAGTAAGTACAGTATTTTACCTCCCTGAATATTGTGTGTTTAGGTACCTTACAGTTGTCCTGTATATTATTAAGGGTGCATTTCAGAATTAGTGTGTTCCCAACAAGCAGAGTCTGAATTGATAAGGAGATATGCAGTTGCGAGGGCTCAATAAGTAAACATCTGACCATTGCTGCCTCAAGTAATACCTACTGCTTTGAAAACATCCTTAGCAGTGAGCTGTACATCAGATAGCAAAAATGTAGGAGTCCAGGCACGTCAGGCTGTGTTCAGATTGAAGTTTCAGCCAAGTTCTGTACACAATCATTGGGAAAAGGGCCACTGGAGAGCAAGCTGGGGGCCAAAATGGAGCTGTGAGCTTTGGCCTCAGGTCCTTGTCACTGTCAGGACTGAAGTGGGCTCTAGGCTGACTGGCTCAGGATGTGTAAACAACACACAAATGCTTTTTGAAGGGCAGGCTGGTTCATTCTGATGGCTGACCTGGAAAAGGACTTTACAAGACCAGAATGTTACTGGCTGTGTTGTCTTCCAGAATAACATGGACTTTAAACTGTATCTGATGAGTTGTGTTTTTACAGACCATGAGATAAGCATCGCTGGTTAGCACTAAAACATTTTTCCTTGGCAGGATTCAAGGTTGTTTTGATGCTTTGGAGAAGCAGTATGTAAGTTCGTTCTTGCTTTTCAATGGACTTTGTTATTTTTCTTCAAAAATATGGACAAAACTGTATTTTCATTCCTCCTTCTGTAGCGATCTTGCATACACACAGCATTTACAGCTGTGGAGTAAAGGGAGGGCTGCCCAGAGAATAAAAATCTGAGGTTTGGGATTTTATTCCTTGAGCCCAACCAAACCTTGACTGGAGCTCTCTGGACTTGCCTGTACATGGCATGAGCACTTGCAGCCTGGAAGGGATTCCCCTTTGTTCTGTGTTCTGCATTTGCACTCTCCAGTGTCTGAATACAGACAGTGCCAGTCAGAACTTGCAGGTCCTGATTTCTATGCCTGTTTTCTTGAGAAAGATTCTTTCATGCTTCTGCTTTCTATCATGTTTTCTTCAAGCTTTTGCCCTTTTTCTTCTCTAACCCTCTTAGCTTTCTCTTGGGTTTGGATTTTATTCCTTTTTTTTTTTTAATAAGGCCATTCATTAGGTAATGTGTTTATCTGGTTTCAGAACAAAACCAGCCAGTAAGTAATCATATTTCTTGCTGATTCTCACACACACACACAAAATTGCTACGTACAGAAAAAAGGACCAATTACCATCTCTGTCAGCACTGCTCAAGTTAACTCTCATCTAGATCAGATGAAGCTGTGTTAGTTTCAGCTCTGCTGATTGCATGTGCTCTTAAAATCAGTACGACTGGCACTGTGCATACAATGTGCAAAATGTGAGCTGCTTATTGCTTGCTGACAGTTCTGGGAGGAATGTAGCCCTCTGCTATTTATGAGAGACATAATGTAGTTATTATTTGACAAAGGTTAAGAGAAAAACAGGTATTTAATGGGTGCTCTAGGATTGCTTTCTCACCCTTTCCCACGTACAGTTTCTTGCTATCGCGTGAATTAAACACCTTTGATGTGTCTTGTATCAGTGAACAAATATTATGCTGCGGTAGGGATGGGTGCTATTGTGAAAGTGTTTTAAGTTGACATAGGCTCTGAATATTTGTTTAGAAAAAGTCCCAGGAGGGAAGGAAGTCTGAGCATGTCGTTGCTTTCTTGGGGAAGTGGATGTGAAGCCAGCGAACCGGCCACTAGGTGTTGCTGCTGCTGTGCTGTGAAGAGTCTGCATGAAGACGTGTGACTCAGTTTGTTGAACGTGCCTGTGTGTGTAGGCAGTTCGATTTTGCTATCTTATGTTGTCCTCACCCACTCAGGATAGATACTGACTTTGCCTTCTGTTTTCTCTTGTTCTCTCTCTCTTTAGCTACATGTTGCTGTCCTAGCAGTAAGTAAACGAGTTCAAGACGTTTTTCTTCTCCCACCATGCTTGACAGAGATTTGGAGTCAATGTTGTGTCAAACCATAAATGCCTTTTATAAGGGGAAGTCAAAATATATGTGGTTTTTAATAGAGTGATGACCTTTCTTAAATATGAACTTCCTAGGCTGCGTGGGAACGTTTTCTCTGTATGTCAGACCTCTGACTCTCAGGCCTTACATGAATCCTTAAAGCCCAGGAAACACTTTCCTGGGCTCCCTATCATTTCTTCCCGCAAACTCTGGCCTTGATCCTTGGAGGAAGGAAGCTGCTGTGTTTTCTCAGCGCATAAGAGTTTGCTTTAATAATCTGATGCCGAGGAAACCACACGCTAGCAGCTGCCTCCGGAGTCTTTTGCCCTGGTTCTCTGTAAAGCAGCAATAGCCGTTCTACACACCTACTGTGTGCATAATCTGAGCATTTAAATCTCAGGCATCAATGTTACCTGTGAGGATTGGAATGGGAATCAACCTCATTCCTTTAGAATTGCACAGGTGAGTCTTCTACCTGTCTTTGAAGTGCTAAGTATGGACTGCTGATAGAGGAAGGCCGTGTCTCAGCCATTCCTTTCTCCGATCCCGTGTTACAGATAGCACAATCTCAGCTGTAACTTGGAAATAACATTGTTTATAGTCCTTTTTCACTGGTTCATGTTACCCAAGGGCAGAATGTGCTCACTGTGCTTTCTTACAACAGATGTACACCAATCCCGAGGAACCGGAGGTAAGAAAGAGTCTTAATTAATCTTTGAGGCAACCGAAGGCATGGGTGAGTAGATTTTTATTCAGAATGGACTTGTGGGCTTAAATTCTACCCTGACACTGCTGCTTGGTGACCTGGTTTCTCTTCTTCTGCCTTCACTCAAGAATGACAGCTCAGTGAGCTGGATTGTGATCAAACACTCCTGCCGGGCATCTAGGGCCTCAGGCAGGGATGTTAACAGGCAACTAATGGGCATGTTCTCAATTTTGTTTTTCTTCCCTGAGGGAAGAACTGGGAAGTTCAAAATCATTCTTTTATTCTCTTTTTCTTTTATTATCTTTTTGAAAGGAGTAGTGAGAAGAGATCTGTTCGTTCTTTTTTTTTGTTTGTTTTTCATGCAGAGAGGTTTAGGACAGAAGTTACAAATCGCTTCAGAGCTGGGATGCATGAGTTACACAGTGTGTGTGTGCTTATCCTTTCTGTGTTCTCCACTGCATTGCCTCCTCTGCTATTTTGTCTAGCCTGTGGCAGCAGTCTTAGCAGTGCAATATATAAGTGAGGCATCCATTCGTTCTCCACAGAGCACACATGAGGAATGGCCTCAGAGCCTGCCTGCGGCCTTGCAGTTCTGCCCCGCTGCACCTCAGCATCTGGGGAGGGAGGGAGGAAGTGCTGGGATTTCTTAAGAACTCAACCTGACTCCTCCCAGTCAACCTCACTGCCTCAGAAAAGCCAATGATAGACATGACATTGGGCTGCAGTATGTCCTTCCTGTTGTATTGAAGTTTGTTCTTCCTAATGGTTGTTTTCTCTAAAATCATAGCAAATCATTTTCTTTTACATGGGATGTCATCTAAATATATACTTTTTAATCTCTTAGTAAACACTGAGAGCAGTGAAACTCAGAATCCCTGTGCAATACAGTTTAAACTCCTAGTGGAAACTGTCCTGCAGGCTCTTGTCTCTATACAGAACTCTGGCCAGGCTTCCCCGTGATGCTGCATCACTCGTGAAGCCTGACATTTTTCCTTTTAGTAGTGAGGGAGGACATACAGATGCTGTGAGGTCAGCTGGCCCTGGTGTCTCTTTAGAGGACAGGGCTGGGGAGTCAGGCCCACAGAGGAAATAGAAGGAGGAGACTGGAAGTTTACAATTTTTCTGTGATTATTTCAGTGCTAGGTAAGTTGTGGTTGTTAAGGAAAACCTACCAACACTTATGCAAGCAGTAACGGAGCTTCAGCTATAAACATCTCATTAGATTAATGCTGTGTTCTTATAAAGTCTTGAAAAGACCCTGTTAAGTTCACAACACATCTTTACGTTTGCTTTTTCTTTTCCTGCTCTTGTTAAATCTGCAGACAGTGACTGAATTGTATCAATTCAAGTTCAAGTACAAACAGGAGGTACCCGAGATGGACATCATCAGGTAATGGTTTGGGTTTATTGCTCAGAATTGCACTTTGAAAGGCAGGTGTTCCTGAAGCCTGAGGAAGAAGCTGCCCTTCATGATGATAGCATGTCTGAGCAGCTCAGCAGTAAATATCATCGGAGTTGAGGATAGTCACTCTACAGGACACAAACATCCGAGCTGGTGAATAGAAATGCTGTTATGTAGCACAGTGAGGCACTTGAAGTGCATCAGAACTGCATGAAAAGCAACTTAGAGAAATCACACCAAGTCGGTGTAGCAGTGGAGAAACCAACACATTTGTTGAGCCTGCTACCATCTCAACTAGCAGCAGTGTTCTTCCAGTTTCACAGGAGAGCCTTGTGCTTTCCAATGAGGCTGTTCCGAGTTTGATCCTTTTAATGAAGATCTCATTCCCAGTATTTTTATCCATGGGCATTTGCACGCATGCGTTCTGTTCCAGTAGTCTAGGAGGGTGGCCTGGGAGGTCTTTCTCTGATCATGCCTGTGTTGATGCTGCAGAACTTATGGCAGGAAGCAGCAGCATCTTGCATCCTCTTGGCCCTGTTAGATATTTGACAGCTGTGTTTAGTGGGGCAAAATCCTGTTTAGTTTAAACTTAATACTGTCAAAAGCTATTAACTATGACCAAAGCAAGGAAAAATAATTAGCCAGTTCCCCAGCAGAACGCAGCATCTGTTGATGTCCATAGTACTGGTCAAGAAGAGGCTCCTCTTTATCTTTTCTGTTCTGTTTATATCAGCTCCTTCAAAATCTCAGTGCTGTGCTGAGAGTTCAGAGATTGAGGCCTCAGATTCCCTGAGCTGTGGCTCTGTTCTGTTTCCCCTGTGACTGACATTGCTATCACCAGGTCATGTATGTACCTGCAGTCGTTTGTAAGCTGACATTCTGGCATTGATCAAACTATTGTGTCATTTTTGCTGTCAGCTCCTTCAGTTGATAAAACTACTGTTATGCACCTGCAAGGTTTATTGCCACATGCCAACCCAGAGCAAATCATCCCTCAAGGAATGTGTCTGTGTCCTTGTGTGCAAGTGGCAAAGGAAAACGTTCTCCTAGATGATCTTTGCCCTTTTCTAGATTCATTTTTGGAGGAGTTTCTGGCCACGGATCCCAGTCTTTCAGAGAGGTTCAGTTCTTTGGTTCCTACCTTTTGGCACATTCCTGCATCAAACCCAGTGTTATTCTCATACTGAACCAGAACTTGGCCTGTTACCTCCTATGGAGCTCTCATGTCTTTTTGTATATACTCTTTCTTCTGTGCTTTCTACCCTGCTAATCCCAAGACTTGTGAAGATGATGTGGAAGAAAAGGCCTGGTTTCTCTTTATTCCACCTCGATGCTGCCATCTTTAGCTCTCTCACTTCCCATACACGTTCCAGAACATACAAGATTCCATTTAATAACACAGCATGGTTAGCACAAGGGTTTTTTTGTTGGAGCTTACCAAACCATAACCTACATAACCTTGGGAATGCAAACTGTTCAACAGCCACTCAGTTTTCATATTGAAATGCTCCAACTGGAAGGGGAAATCCATCTTACAGAAGCAGTGATTTAATCAGTCATACTCAGCCCTGGCATTCTCCCCACTGTCATTTGTTCCTTTCTGCTTTGGAAATAATTTGTGGTGATTCTGTTAGATTTTGTTAGATACCATCCAGTCTGCTTGTGGCATCATCCAAAGACACAGTTTTATAGTGGAGGAGCTACTATTTTTAAGGCCCTTTCTTGTTGAATGTTAAGGAAGTGTAGGTTCCTCGCTCTCTTAGTGATTCATCCAGTTTGCCTCCAACTGGCTAAAGTTAGCAGCCTGATCTAAGCTGCTCATCTCATCAACCTCTGTAGAAAAGAGAAACGAACTCCTCCAGAGGGCAATTCATCCCACTGCTGCTGCACGGTTATCTCAGTCTAGACGGCTTGCTTAGACTAGCCAGCTGACATTTGGATGGGTGAAGGAGGTGAGAGGAATGCCCCTTAGTCACTTTGGAAAAATGCACTTCTGAGCTAGTTTTTCTTACATGAAATTGAAGTGAGAACATGGAATTCACTTCTCTTCAATCTGCAAAATGGACTTGAAAATAGCCACGGTGATGAATCAGCTCTAGATGGGATTTTCACCTCATTCCTCTCATTCCTGGAATTGCTTAGGTGAAAGGCACTTGTTTTATGGTCCTTTGATCCATTTTAATCATGTTCGAACAAGTGAGTCACGATATTTGTACAATGGGGGTCCCTTGCCCTAACTGCAAAGTCTTTTCAAATGTAAATGCCATGCCGCTTCGTTTAGAGCTGCTGTTTTCCTGATGCCACTCCATCCCAGGAGTCTGTTTCACTTCCCTGTTTATCTGGAAATTAACGAAGGCATTGTAGCTTTCTCACTGGTGCTTTGAGACAAGTCAGTGGGTGCACTGTATTTGTAATTGGATCTTGAATATTCATGACTGAGGAAAAACAACTCTGTTATTCTGCTTCCCATTGTAGCAACAGGACGAACTCTGTGAATGGAGTGTGCAGCGAGGACATGAAGCAAGCCTGCAGCCTCCTGATCCGTAAGCTGTACCTGCTAATGCAGAACCTGGGCCCACTTCCCAATGACATTTCCCTGACCATGAAGCTCCTCTATTACAATGATGGTAGGTGGATAGCTGCGTGTGCTGCCAGGGGAGCTTCCCTTTCCATCAGTTTCTGTGATAACCACGAGCCCCGTGAAATTAATAAACCTCAGAAAGGTGAAATGGCAGTGAGGTGGTAGGAGCTATTAGCTGATACAGTGAGAAATGGTGTAAAATGTAGTGAATCCCTTAGACTCACAGGGATGGCAGATGCTTTGAGAAGGGACTGTAAATCCGTACAAGAAGTGCAACCTTGCAGTGTGAAAAGGACAGCCTTCTTCACTGTTTCTTAAGGAACATGTACCTCCTGTGTGTTGGTTTATAATCCAGAAAGTTGTGCTCATTGATGGTATCTCAGCATTCTAAAGTTACTGTTTCTTTCAGCCACCTGTTAGCATTTGCTCAGTTCTTTTTTTGCCTTTGAAATCTCCCTTCTTCCCTCCAAAAAAATAACCACCCAACACATTGTTGGTAGCTGGCGTTGTTTCTGGAGGTTGGTAGATGTGTGTATTTCACAGAGCAGATTAAAGAGGGATGGAACTTTGTTTCTCTGACAGCACTGGGTTCTTTCTCTGTGTGTAGTGACTCCTGATGATTACCAGCCACCTGGCTTTAAGAAAGATGACAACCCTGGGGACCTGTTGTTTGATGGTGATCCTGTCAACTTGAAACTAGGGTCAGTCTCCACTGGGTTCCACACCTTGAAGGTGAAAGTAACAACTGAAAACAAAAGAATGGGGAGAGTTGAAAGCAACCTGATCCAGAAGAATAGCCCTACTGAGATCTCCCATCAAGGGCTAGACTGCGATGAAGAGGAAGAGGAGGGAAGCACTAAGGTAGAGAAATAACTCTATTCAGTTCTCGTTGGAGGAATGGAGTTCATCTAGCAAAACACTCGGAAAAAAAGCATTTGCTCAGAATCCTAGCTCAATAAACTTGTGCAGGGCAGCATTGCTGCACTGGATTGAGCACTGAGGCTGCAAATCCATTAGCATAATGTGAATTTCATTTGGGCACATCCACTGGCCCACTGAGTCTAATGTGTTCTCCCAGAAGAGGGCAGTGATTATACAGAGAGCCACAGCACACACATGCAGAACTGGAGGAAACTGCAGACTTTTGCAGATCTGTGCAGTCAGGTGGGATTCCTTCCACTGCCTCTAATCATCCCAAAGCTGTGCACTGTGCCCAGTTTCTCTGGAGCACCTCGGTGCTTAGTGTAGGGGTTGTCTTTAGCAGGCAATCATTAGACAGCAAGTTCAGCTGAAATAACAAAGGGGCAGCCTGCACCAGCAGCTCGGGCTTGGCAGTTTAATTTTAGGTGGCAAGTGCCAGTGAACAAGCCTTAGCATAACTGCTGCCTGAAGACAGGAAACTGTTTGGGCCAGAATTTTCTGCCTTTCTCAGTAAATCTCTCTTCTGTAGGCTTGGGAGTAGGAGTGCTGCGTGCTGAGGAGTTTTGTAAATTTAATCTCTGTTAGTGCTGAGTATAAGCTCAGCAGATTTACCTCCTGGGAATAATTTTTAAGTCGTGCTATTAATTCAAGGGATTATTTGCATTGCAGAACAACCCTCTCTCTGTCAGAGCAGAGTCAGATGAGCATGGAAAGGATGGAAAGGACAGAAATTATACCCATCCAGGCCTGGGAACTGAAGCATCTTCTTTTTGCCTTCAAGATACAGGTAGAAGCTCAGTTTCAACAGTGAAGGAGCCTGTGTTCACAGCTAATCTCTTAGCATAATATTTAGATTTTCTCAGCTGTTTTGAAATGGATGAACAGTTTGTCAGACTAATTCAATTTTGTATGAGATCAGAGTGACCTATAATAAATGGCCTCTTGTGTACGCTTGGTTTGTTAACAGAAACATTCAATTTTTTATCAGTATCTTTCCACCTTTTTATCTCAGCAGTTTTTTTTCAGATACAGAGGAAATGCATCGTTCATCAATACCACATTACATTATCTACATTTCACCAAGGCTCTTTTCCTATAGCTGTTGCAGCTTGATTTTGCTAATAACTTTAATATGTGAAAGCATGCATGAACATATACCAAAAAAGAAAAGCCTCTGTCACTTCAGTAAGCCTAGCTGGTGATGTACCATGCTCTGTTTGACCTTTGAGGCTCTCAAATATAGCCTGTGGAACAATACCATCTAGTGACAAAATGGTAAATAGCATTCCTGAGATCCTCAGGCAGTGGAATAAAGGAGCTGGGCTGCCTATGAAGCCACCTCTTCTAGTCTTTCTCTTGCAGATTCTCTGATAACTAATGAGGAGTGAACTCACACTGCCACCTTTTCCACTAGAGGGATATTAACAATATCTTCCTGCCTCATCAAATTGTTTTCATGAAACTCTGAGGCAGTTTAGGACCCCACAGTCAAATTTTATGGAAACTGTCTAGTAGGGACAGGAGTTATCAATCAGAGGACAAGCTCCTGTCCAACACAGCCACTCACACAGATTATATACTGACATAATCCTTGTTTCTTAGGAAGCCAGGTTAAAAAATGAAGTATTAACCTCACGGACAGGAGCTGTTGAGGTTAATGTTTTATATTTAGATGATGGTAGTCTGAAGTCTGTTTACAGTGCTAAACTGCCAGTGCTGGCATTGCCTGGGAATAAGGGTTACAGGGTTACACCATTCCACATCAGGCATGGAATTGCTCTACAGTGGTTCAGTTGTCCTTTTGTGTATATTTTTTTCAGTTAAATATAGGGCTTTAAGCTTGAGAACTAATGTTGATATGTTTGCATTGTAGGTGGAAAGGGAAAGATGGAAATAAAAGAGATGGGCAGGCGGCCTTCCTCACAGGCATCTCAGCAGGTGAGCAAATTTCAGTGACTCTGATATGACAGGCAGTGTGAATTGATTGCCATGGAATGTGATGTCACCTAGGATGGCACAGCTTTCTAATAACGTGTGCATTTGTTGTATGGCATGCAATGGCTGCAAAGTGTTATAGCATAGGGGTATCAGCATGAACTGGAAGCATTTATGAACAAGCTTTCCGTGGTCAGCTCATTTCACACATCCACTGCGAGAGTTTTTGTTCTGTTCCAGGAGTTGACACTCATGCATTACACATGCACCCTAAATGACACAGCCAGGTTTCTTTACCTGCGTGTGTTTTTGGATTAGGGTTCTGAAATCACCACCCTGTGTTAGATTTGAAGGCTGTGTTTGTCTGCTGCCAAAGCTAATCTTTACCTCTCCTTTCCTGCTGCCAGTCTTATCTTCACGTGTGACTCACAGTACTTCTGGATCCTATCCCTTTTTGCCTACCTCTCTGTGATAGGAAGACTTAGCTCCTGGAAGTGCTGATCTCTTTTTTTCAGGGGTTACAGAGGCAGAGCTGAGAAGTAGGATGGACCAGACGTGATACATAAAGTAACGTGAAGTTAATTCCATCCTGAGACTGTTCAGGTCAATCCCTGAACCAAAACCAGTGCTGGGATTCATGCCCTTGTGCAGAGCTCTTTTCAGTGACAGGCAGGTCTCTGAACACCACCAGACCTGCCAGTTGATCCTCCTCCTATTCAAATTAGTTGAAGATGCTGTGAGCTTGAATATTCAGAAACTGAATCTTCACAGGATAAGTTAACGAGAGTAGGAAATTGCTAGTAAAATTTTCCCTGCTTCTGTTGAAAAGTCTAACCCAGACAGCAACTGGAGACGACTACTTAACGTGTCATTCAAAAGGCATCTCTGAAGTATTTGCATTGACTCTGGATCTTAGAAATGAACTTCTGTGCCTAGGCTGGTATTTTTCAAACTTTAACCACATTTTTTTTTTTGTCACATCCTCCAGTTTCCTTCTGATCATTGTTTATTCTGTCGTCTCTGAGAAAACAGGAGCCTTTTTTGTTTGTAACTCATGGTTCTCCCCCTGATTCATGCTCTTGCATTCTTTCGGGTCTGTCATGATGAGAGTCAGAGCACCAGGCACCTCTCTCCTGCAGCATGTGAATTCCCTTAGAATGCAGTAGCAATAGTGAGAGTTTCTGAAGGTGGTGGAAACAGTACTGGTTACTGAAAAGTGGAAGAGTCATTTTATCCACTTTATGCTTCCAAAGACTCAAAAAAAGAATTGCAATCCCTCTTCCTGTTAAATTCTGCTGGGCAGACAGTTTTTGAGTTATTCTTTGATATTATTATTTTTAGACACACTTGCTTAGAAGATGGCTAACATTTCAGTCACTTCAGGAAGAAATAAAACCAAGTCACTCTTTAGAAAGTTCAGATCATCACGGTAAAGCCAGCACTAATAAAAACTTGATGCTATTTTCCATGAGAGGGGGACTTTCCCTTCTTTTCTGAGGGAAGTGGGTGAAACAAATGTGCATTGTGTATTCCACTTGTATCAGGAAGCCAAACTATCGAGTGAAGTTTGTCTTAAAAAATGAGGGCAAGCTAGGGAAATCAGAGTTAGGTATTATCTAACGAGGTCAAACGCAGGTAAGATGGCAGAAGGAGTCCTTTTGGGGTGTGAATGTAAACATCTTGCTGCTATCCAGGCTGCAGGACGGTGAAACGAGCAGCGTTTTTCAGGTGTGCTGGGAGGAGCTCTGTGATTCGAGGAGCCCTGTGGTCTCCCAAGAGAGCTGCCTTCCCCCAGCTTTGAGGGGTCGCTCAGCTCGGGCTGTGCAGCGCTCGGGAGCCACCTGGCCGGGTCCGTGCTGCTCTCCCTTCATTTTTGGCAGACATAAGCCACCAGGCTCAGGCTGCTCGTGCACGACAAGTGTTAGGTTTCCACCCAAAGAACTAGCTCTCATAAAAATTGCTCACATACCAGCGCTACCATGGCGGAGCGGGCATGGCTGGGTGGTGAGGGCGAGGCGGGCTGGGGGGGGGCCTCACCCTGCTGTGCGTGGCTGGGCCCAGGGGCTGGGCGCTCAGTGCTGCACCGTTACGTGCTGAGCTGAGCTGATCGAAACCGATGGAAGCAGACCTTTTATTGCAGATCTTGGTGTCAGGGCGAGGATTCGATGTTCAGAAAGCGATGTGTTAAAAATCCCATACAGTCACGAGGTGCTGTGGGGAATTTGGACGGCCCCGTTGCTGCTCTCTCTCTGAGCGGACTGCTTCATTCCTTCTGTTTCCCAATTATAAAAAAGCCAGAACTATGCTGTTGGAACAGAGTTGATTGTTCATTATTTTCCTGACCTACAGCTCTTCAGGAAAACCAGGAATGGGAGCATTAGAGGCTTATTTTTATCTGTGTGACATGGGAGAAGCAAAGGCTGCAGATCTGCCAAAAGAGAAAGAACTATTTCTGTCCTGTTAGAACTATAACTGCTGTTTAATAATGGCCACGAAGAGTCTCTGACAGAGGGCTTTTCAGATTGGAGAAAAATTTACATGTACTCAACTTGCTTGTTATCTGCAATCTAATGATTGATGATACTTAGGATCAAATGAGAGATTGCCCTTTCCCAGCAAAGCATCTCTGTACTTAATCATCCAGAGTTAGACACCAGCATGTAAATTACCCTACCTCTGCTGACTTGAGGAGAGTTTCTGATTGCATCAGCTGCGGATTTGTCCCAGTGTGCTATCTTTATGTGTCTTCCTAGTTTCCACTGGCATTCTAGCAGTTGTGATCTGAAGAGCTGAGTAAAATAGGGAATTGCTGCCCACTGATTTATTCTACAGAAATCTGCTGATGGAAATGGGGTCCTGCACAGAATGTGAGATAACTTCTTGAAGACTTCAGCGTAGTCCTTTACCCTCTTGTGGGTTCTTTAATGGTTTTGTCCCACAAGTTGATTTTTGTCCTCTTTGTCTTCATGTAAGCAAACATGTTGCAGTGGAATGAGTTTGGAATGAAATAGTTCTAGAAGATGAATAAAAGCTGACCATGTGGATGCTTCTGCAGGCGTTATCTCCCATCAGCAAGCTGTGGGCTGAAGTTCTGGGGTGGTCCTTAAAGCACAGTCTCATTGCACAGTGCAGCAGTTGTGCAGAGCCCTGAGTCGTCCCAGACGGAGCCTGTGCCAGAGCTGGAAGTGGTGTGGCTGCATCAGCACAGAACAGTTCTACCTCCTGGTTTTTTGGCTTCTCTAGTCAGTGCCAGACGGTGCTTATGCTGCTGGGCTGGCTGCGTTTGTGCTACCAGGCTGCTGTGGGACACCAGTAAGTGTGCTGAGGATTGGCCTTGTGTAGGCACAGTGGTTTGGATCACTGGTAGCCCAGGGGCTCCACACTGCCTGTCAGTGCCTGGCTGTGTGGCATAGCTCTCTTACCCCGAGCTGTCTGAAAGTCACAGAGATTCACTTGCCTAAATGAAAGAGTGCCATTTTAGACTGCAGGTGGTGGTTTGTCTGGCCAGCTGCTACTCCCCATGCTGAAGTCTTGGGTACCTGGTGACATCCTTTTTCTCTAAGAGAGAGGCTGTGGCAGCAATGGAAGCCAGCATGAGCAGTCTTTCATGCCTGACACTCTACGAGCAGTGTGTTTTGTTTGCCAGTGGTCAGCATCCTCTTGGTGCCCAGAGCCATGGTAATCCTGCTGGAGATCCCTGTGCCTTTGCTGAGCTTCAGAGTTGCATGTGACTTCTGTCTGAAAGTGAAGGTCAGCACAAGGGATCCAGTTGCAGAACAACAACTTGAAGATCAAGACCTTTGTTGTCTGATTTTTCTCAGGCAAGCCACTTTTACAATTGCCATGACAGAAAGCAGTTTAAGGGTGAAGTCTGCCATTTGCCGAGCAATAGGAAAGCATTTTTCTGTGGCAATGTCATTATCTTGAACTTTTGCAGCAAAGAAAAAAAAGAAAGGTTTATCTCTAGCTGTCTATCAAGCGAACTGTATCTGATGAGAAGTTCCCAGAACATTTTCTCCTCCAAACCAGCTGAGGCTACACAGACCCAAACAATGAAGAGAAAGATTCAGAGATGAGCTAGCCTCTCTCCTTCCTGTTAGCTCAGGCCATTCTGGGAGGAGTGAGACAAGGAGGTCAGGAAATTCCTGGCTTCTCTGCATTCACATCCGACCTTTAGCTGGATCTGAGGCTGTTCATCCCTTGCATGAGTTGTTCCTGACTAGTGTGTATGAAACAGCTTCTTAGTGATCTCTTCATTTGGAGGTGATGCTCACTGCCCCGGAGGCGGGGAAAACTTTAACTTGTGTGCCCTCAGATTTCAGCTATGCCATGGACATCCAGAGGAAGACACTGAGCCTCTGAGCCTTCACACGTGTTCATAATGTGCATGCTAACAACCAGACAGACTGCTGGAGAAATCTGCACACAGTAAAGTTGGGCAGGTCTGACATCCCACGAGGGGCTAAGCTGCTGATGGCCTCATAGGCACAGTGAGTGTCTTTGCTTTTCACTTCCTGGTTTACAGTGCTGTAAATCTCACAAGGGAAAGTCTCCCAGTGCAGAAGCTTACAGGCCAATTGAGGGTCCTGGCGGAGGCTACAGGGACAGACACTGGTACTTTTTTGACTTTTCAGTCAGGTGTTTTGAACAATTTGTTTTCATAGTCTGGAAAGATCTGTTCGTGGTCCTTTAAACGCAACGAGATACGTGAGACACAGCGTAGGCCTGTGAGACTTTGTCTGCAAAAAGGAAATTGCGTTGGATGGCAGAGATTTTAACAGTGAACTATGGAAAAGGAAGAGGACCAGTGGTAATCAGTGATGTCTTGGCATGGTTTCCTGGGCACAGAAATGTGGCAAGTTTCCATAGATGCATCACAGTGAGCGTCTTTCATTCTTCCACCTGCGTAATTTGGCTTTCATGCTTACCAGCGTGATTCTCCTCCACTTTGTACAGATGAAAATCAGGATTAGTTCTACTGATGTCAGTGCATTGGCTTTTCT